AGACGTGGTTTTTGAATTCTGAATTTAACTCAAATATATTTACCAAACTTTGTTCACATAATTACAAAAAAGATTCAAGAGCATAATGCATTTCATTTACTAAATTTCATTTGCCTCCTTTTTTTTCCAGGCCCACCAGCAAAGAATCTCTAAGGAGAAGAAGTAAAGGTTCCCCGGGGCAAATGTGGCTCCGTCAGACCGAAGAGACACATTATGTATATCCCTGAAGCTTACTTTAAAGGGGCAAACCATTCCAAAGCTATCCACCCTCCGTACCTCACTGCGCATGTGCGAAATAACATCAGGAGGCAACAAAGCAGCATCAAAGAATGCAGCATGCCGTCGGCCATGTTAGCAATCTTTTACCACGTTGTTCGAAAACGTTCTTTGTTGTTGTAGTCAGAGGTACTTGGTTTTAGCTATGTGAAATTCTTTTAAAGACTTTTTAAATGTAATGCTGTAAATGAAATGGTTTTGGCTATTGGGTGAAAACTTTGCTCTTGGTTTTCACAATGGTCATTCCAAATAATTGTCCAAACGTTTTCATGGTAATTTGTTTTTAAAGTTGTTGTTGGATAATTATAATGTATTTCAGTGTTTTCAATTTATTTATTTAGGGGTGCCTTTAATTGTCTTTAAATATTTTTTTCTGTTTCAGTTAGTTATTGCAAATTTTGCTTTTAAAATTTCACTGTAAAATTTTAACTATGGATCCATAAAAATTTATTACGTTTTGTATGGCATGTGTTTTCCCCCTTTTTAAGTTTACAGAAGAAAAGAATTAAGAAATTTATTTCATTTAAATTTTGTCTTCGTACGGCTTGCTGTTTAAATTGAAAGTAAAAATTGGACAGGATTTCTATAATTCGCCCCAAAATTCCAACTAACATCCTTTTGCTCATAAAACTCCAGAAATGTATGAAAATAAAACATTTTGAGTTATTTCAAAGTAAAAAATTTACTATCTCCTCGAACTGCGCTGTTTAAATTTCACCCTGCGCTGGTGTTTCACTGCATAGCCGTGGCTCTTCGGTACAGCGGCGCAGAGGCGAAACAGGTTTACATTGCGTCTATGGAAGCTTTCATTCTTCTCCTTAGAGATTCTTTGTCACCAGCGACCGAACTCTAAAGTCGCTGAACACTGGTAGTTCGGTCTGAGCTGGAGTTCCAGAAATTACCGCACTATACTTTTGTGGAATTATCATTCTGCTATTAATAATGATTAATAATGCTTGATCATAAATTTTAGGTAAACTTCAAGCGCCAGGAAACTGACATAGCCCGCGTTGTGTTGAATACAGAGCAGCGCCAGTTATGTACGTCATTGACTGCATATGTAAAAAGACTAACATTTATGGAAGCTTCTAGAATTATTTTTATCCATCGTTAGACTAGCAAATTATCACGATTTTAGCGATTTCTAAGTGGCAAAGTAGTTAGAAATTTTGAGAAGGATTGTAAGCCTTGTAATCCTTGATTGAGTAACCCTTGTAAAGGTACAGATGGTTTTTCCCTTACGACTGTTTCAAGAGTGTACTGTGATAACAAGAATTTTGACAAAACGTTGAACGTACGCCAGAGAGTGGTGGGTAGCAAATATCGTTTCACGCGATAAGCAGCAGTGCCTAAAGAAACATGACCATTCAATTTTGGATTTCCAAGAACTTGAGAAAAGTGACAATTCAAGAAACGTGAGAGCTGTTTGATATTCTTTCCAAGTTATAAACTTAAGGAACGAAAGCTCAGGCAGAGTAAGTACCCTTGAAGAATACACGAATAGACTACACTGAGCTAATCCCCTAACTTCATCAGTATTTCTCCCATAGTAATCCATTTCATGAGCTCTCATAAGACCGGGTCTAAAATATATGGAGGTTTACTGGACACGGTTAGCTTAACGGAAAAACCCAATGTAACTAAATGAGTTATCTGAGTATTCGAGCCATGTGCCTCACTTGGATTCCAAAATGCCGAGATTGGACACTAGAAGGCTGAAAATGAATGGTTAACTCTAAAGAGTCGCTCTTTCAATCGTTTCAGGCAGATGAAGAATGCCAACGGAGAAAAACGCATGGAATTAAGAAGTAGATGAAGAAAATCATGCTCCAAAAGTTTTCATCTCATTGTGCTTTCTTTCATCGCATTGCCTTTGCCTACTCCTTTGTTACAATGCGAAGCTATAAGTGTCGAAGATACTTATAGCAATAAGTTCTCGCAATAATTTTGATATTTTTAATGGTACAAACTTAGAATGGTCCAATGGTTTGCTGTTCTGTTACTGGATGTTCAGAAAGATCTAATGTATAAAAACATTAGGATTTAAGTTTCCATAGGATACGTCAATTTTATATAGGAAGTAATTTATAGTTTACTTTCCATTCGCATTATTTCTTTGTTCTTTCATTTTAGAATTTCAGTGAAGTGGTCTTTTTTGGATTGAGGGTAATTTTTTATATTTTACGCTGCATATTTTAAGATGCTGGATACAAACGAATGTGAGGTTATTTAAATTTTATTTCTCAATTTTTTAATAAATAATATAAAATATATAAATCACATAGCACAATGTAATGATATTTCATAGCATGGCTGACTTATGGTTATTTGAAAACGAAAAAGAGTGTTTTTAATTAACTAATTTTAAATTACTTAAAATTAGTTTCTCGTTAAATTATTCAAAATTAATATTTTTATAAGGAATAACTATTTATTTTTAACAAACTAAAACTGTGAGGAAAGGGGTATTTTTACATTATAAAAATTTAAGTTCTAGTTTTGGTATTCAATTATATTTCTTCAAGCTGTCTTAAACATACGTAACATTCCGAACGAAAGTAAAATTAGTTTTTATGTTACATGTTTATCACTAGTTGGCGATCACCATAAAATGTTAATGAGATATGTTTTGAGGATATTAATATGGATGAGTTATTGTGAGGGAAGTATTTAAAGGGAGGAAGAGAAGAGATTATTTAACTTAAACCGTCGTTACGGAATCTAATCATTTGAATTTCTGATGAAATTCGTATTTCCATTACAAATCAATGTTCATCAAATTTCATGAAGTAATTTATTTTGCTTTTTCTCTGTTAAGTGGAGAAAATATTTTAAGAACATTTATTATTTTACCCAGGATTCAATCTTTTATTTTCTCCAGTTTCTGTTTCTGGTTATTTACCAGTTAGAGCATTCCCCCCCCCCCCCCCAAAAAAAAAAAAAAAACTATGATCTGTTTAACTATAATGTTTATTTATTAAGGTATTATTTTTTTATTGTTATATCTGTGTAAAATTTCGATTTTGCTACCGTCATCTAAATTATCCATTCATGTTTAAGCTGCACAGAAGAACTAATTGGTATGAAATTGCATTCTCATGCCTATCATTGCTATTTGGAAGCATTTATTTTTTTGAATTTATTTTTATTGCTAATTACTAATGCTCCTAAAATTTAGCTGTGACCAGACTGAAGAGCATTTTAGTAACGTGACAAAAGATTTTTAGTTTACTAACGTGACAAAAGGTTTTAATTTTTATTAGCATATTTAAATGAGCGAATAACGCATAGAATTTATATGTAATAGCAGTTTGATTGGACCGATTAAAATGAATGCGATTAGAAAACTAGTCATTGGAGACTTGAACTAATCGAACAGCGAAGATTGCCCGAAGCCACTCTACTTATTTCCTGTCTCCACAGGAAATTCTGCGAAGTCAGACATCTTCCATATTAACAACAGACTGTTCATGCTAGTGATAGCTACGTAATGGAATGAAGCTTATTGGCCTAGTACATTTTAACCAGCTGGCAGGTTTAAAATCTCTCTGATTAGTGCGTCATTTTTGACGAATGAACCAGTTCATTTTCTGTGTTAATTGTGATGAGTTTGGCTTCTTCCAGCAAGGTAATGAACTACCATAGAATTTAGACATGTCAATCTTTGTTAGAGGAACACTTATCTGAGTTTGGGCGTCTTGCTTTGGTCTTGCTTGTCTCCAGATCTTAATGTTAACTAACACATCTGGAATATCATGCACAACGCAACTTGAAATGCAGAAATTCCTATATTTCGGAATGCAAAGGACTGTGTAGCAAGTGTGGTGTTTATTGACTATACTAGAATACTTCCTTTAAGCTCTTAGAGTTCTTGGTTACCATTATGCCTTCCTATGATGGATCTGTTAAGCGTTAGACTGGAGCATAGCTTTTCTGACACTTTAGTATATTAAGAAGTTCTCCCTATATTTTATGGTTTTAATCTTTCACAGATTAAAACCATAAAATATAGTTTTTTTTTGATAAAGCATATGTACTGACTTTAATATGTAAGTGACTTTAATTTTTGTGTGTTTTTAAAGTTACGCTATTTGTAATGTCATCAGTTAGTAATATTACTATTCGTTTTTCATCCTTTAACTACTACTGTGTTTTAAATCTGATTAAGTTAAAGTGAAGAAAATTATGTTCTTTTCTAATCTAATTATATTCGCATAATACGTAACGATAAAGTGTACGATAAAGCGTACGATAAGCAAATACGTTCAAGTACGATAAAGCGAGTATTAATTTCAAGTGAAAGATTTTAACATACTTCACTTAAAGGTCACTATCCTTAATATCAAGTATTCCTAAAGTATTTTATAAGTAAAAAATAACTGACTGAAGTTTTAGCTACCAGAAGTTTAGTGTTATAAGATATATAATTTTTAGGATGTCTTTTTTAGTGCGTTAAAAGAAAAATGGCTTTTATTTCTGATGCAAAGAAAAGAGGTATTCACAAGTTTAAGGGACAATATGTAAATATAATCAATTAACTCACAGAAATGTCATTTGAAGCTACTCTACTGAATTAGGTAGCAATATTTTAATTTTGAAACAAAAAAAAATCATTTTATAGTTTACATTGATTCTTGGTATGAATAATACAAAAAGGAAAACATGCATTTCGTGGAGCGTTGCTTCCCCACATTGTATCAACGTAATAAAAAAATGAAATCTAATTGAAATTGGACTTACACTTTAATTGTTCTAAATACATTTAGAGAATGACAAGTTCTCAAATATGCTTCATAAATAATAAAACTAAAAGATTAAATATTTGGCACATCAATGGCACAAATCTAGAATTTGGTATATTTCACTATAACACATTTTTCACCGAATGTTTACTTATTTCTTCATACTTCTTCGCTAAATTTTCGATATTTCAGTATTCGCTGTTTATGTGTTGTTATTTTCTTCATAGAAAGAAGTTGTTGAACACTTATATTACGTAAAAAATAAATTTATTACACAAACACATATCTTCTTTTCTAGTTCAAGTAATTCTTGCTACTCAACATTTATTAAAAATTTTCCGATTCCCTTTCGAAGTGTATATTGTTTTGTATATAAAGCATGCAATGATTTATTATCATTCAATCAATTTTTTGGCAGTTATTTTTTAAAACAATCTCATTGTTTATGTTTGTATCATAATAAAAAATTACACATTCTGATGCATTCTATTAAAATATTGCAAGATACTTGAAATTTTGTTTACTTTTTAACATCTTTAAGAATAAAATTGCATCCTTCAATGATATGTTTCCTTCTCGTACAAAGCTACAAGGCAAATCATTTGCAATATTTAATTCTTTCTGATAAATACTTTATTTAGAGGCACTGACATTTTTTCCTTGAATTTTCTAGCACATGCCTTCAAATTAACACTTAAAAATTTGGCTCTGGCTTCTTCTTCTAAATGAATATCTTATTGAGTGAATTTACATCTCGTATAATGTTTTCTGAGAAATTTCGGAAGATTAACCTTCATTTCCTTAAATACAGTTACGGTCATAAAATGTGTTCTATATTTGTCGTTCAAAATATATTCGTTCACATTATACGCGCTTTCTCTGTTTCGTTCTAAAACATCCTCTGTGTAGTTTGGATACGAAGAAGCACTTTTGATATTTGTAAACTTTACGGAACTTTCAGATATAGTTCAACACTGCAGACATGATAGAAATAAAATGCACACATAAAATATTTATAAGGTAAATTCCTTTATTACTTTTGAATTTTACTTAATAAAATTAGTGTTTATGAAAGAGAGCAATTTATTTCAGGTAAGGTTATGTGACAGAATTTATGTAGTTAGCCTCAAAATCTGAAATTTGAAATTGGAACAAATACTTTGCTATAGCTTGTTCTAATTTTTTTTTGTTTTATTTCTTTAAAATGTCTCTGTATTTTATTTTACTCTTAAGAGGAGATCTATAATGTGATATGTTATTCTCTAGTAAAATACATTTATGTGCGTACTTGCATACACGTACTAAATGTAGGCTAAACTGCCAGAATGCCAAAATTATTAGTTCGCACTATATGATTAATGACAGCATGATATTAATTTCCTTATCTCAGTTAGTACCAGTACTGAGCAAAATATGCTATTTCGGTTAATATTCTAATACCATCTTTAGGTGCAGTAATCGTAGTACAGCGGTTTAATTGCCCATCAGGGGCGGCCAAGCAGTAAACGCGTTAAACAATGGCAGTTCGACCTCGGTTCGAACGCGGTCGAAAGGATTTGCATATTCTGCATTCCTTTTCGTGGTTTCCCATTTTTAACTTAGTTAAGAGTCAGTTTCCATTAGAAAGTTCTTCAAGCAGGCAGATAGCTATCGTATACGTTGGCATTATCAAATAAACCAAACAATTAATCTTTAGCTTTATAATGTCCAGTAAAACTAATGGTTCGGAATACGGACCAAGCATCAAATGAATTTAGCGTTCTTCTATGCATGTGAAGATAAATTAGTAAAGTTTTATTTCAGTTTCTGCGACTGTTAAATGCACTAGATACACTTAATCAGTTTATTTTGCTTGTATAAAAACTCTTTATAAATATCACTCACAAACGGGCGACATTATTTAAGAGACCACCGACCCCTGAGAGGCCATTAGCATTCAAGCATAATATAAATGCTAATCCGTTTCTTTCGGGAAGATCTTCACTAAAGCACACTTCGCAAGACTGCTCAAATTGTCATAATAACTGAAGAACTCAACTTATCTGAACCTTAATCGCCGTGTGTCTAAAAATCTGCTGTCTTTATGCTAAGGTGTAGTACATAAAGTCTATTATTCCGAAGGTTCTTCCATGTGATTTGGTGGTAAGGTAAGAGGGTTATGGGCTTCTGAAATATTCTTTGCGGTGTCTCGACTTAGTTTGGGATGGAGTTACAAAAAGTAGAATGCTATCACCATTGATGCCAAAGTTCTGTGACCAAAGACATATACAACGATTTCTTCCTTCCCTAAATGTTTCACAGGCATATCGATTTGGACATGTAATGCGATAACAACAACAGTGAATAATTTCATTTTGAATAGTTGCTGTTTAATATTCATATAAGAACTAAATACAAGTTCTTATAATATGTGTGAATAGTTATATTTTATTTTTAACGCAAAAATATGCAAAACGCGGTTGCGTTTATATATTTATTTAGATTAATAAATAAGTTTAAAGAAATGTTTCGTATTACATCGCTTAATACGAATACGCTTAATACTTCCCAAATCTAGGAAATCAGTATCATCCACATTAAAACGAGAGGAATTTATTGTACAAGTCTCGGAAGATATGATATTTATGCCATTTCTGAAGATAGGATGAAGGTCTTAAAGTTGAGAATCTAAGCAGAATCAAAGTTGAGTGACATCTTTAATTTTGCCTGCATTCTCAAGTTGGGTTAGGTTTATTGACTAAGGCAAAGCAACTTCATGGCCATCTGTGAGAAGGGCTGTTTACGTGGAGGAATTTTTAAGATAAACTAGCTAGTATCCAAGTTACACATGGGGGAAAAACCACGAAAATTCCATACAGCCAGCATCTAGCCCAATCGCCCTGATTCGAACGCGGGTCGAACTAGAGTCTTCAGTGAATTTACAGCTCGGACATTAGTGGGGCGGAGTCTCAAGCAGTATGAAAAAAGAAAGGTTTCAGATACATTCATTCTGTTTTTACTTTTGCTTTTATTTTTACAGTTACAAGAAAGAATACACAACTAGACATTACTAACCGGGACTCAAATATGCAAAGAATGCTCCACTTAAGTGTCGCCTAATCCCATTAAGCTATTTTGAAGACCAGAGAAAACCGGCTTCAGGATTTATTAGATTATGTTAAAGCACATTAGGGCAATTTGGCAAAGGGAAGATGTACTCAAGTTGCATACGAGGAGAACCATGAAAACGACCAGGCAAGCCAGCCCATTCGACGAAATTCGAACCAGAGTAAACTACGAATATTTTGCGGCAAACGGACTCTGAGTTTTTATTTTGCTACAATTACTGCAACGAAATGAAATATATTTGTCGAGTGAAAAGCTTCAATTTTGCAAATGTTTACCTTGTGTAGATAAATGTGATGTAAAAATGTTTTACCTGTAATTTAATAAAACTATTTAGTGGCTGACTAAAAAATTGCATGTAATTTTCTCATAAATAATTTTGACGTACAAAAAGTCACCGGGAACCAAAAAGCAGAATGATTCCTCTGGATCCTATCTCATGCGCATCAAAGGATTTATTTGCCCCTTTTTTTCATTTTCGTGAAGTTTTTCAGTTTTTACTTTTTTACTTTTTTTAAAAAGACATGTTTTCCGGAATTTGGTTTTACTAAAGGCAATCTGGCAGCACAGAAGGGGGGCAGGCAAACTATTTCTTCTTATCAATTTTGCATTAAAATGCATAATAAAAATTAATGGCATTTTTTAATATTAAAATTATAATATTTCCTATTTCGTTAATATTTTCGGAGGCATAAGTTTTATGAAGTCTTTATCTCATTTCTATAAGTTTCTAGAAATCTATCCTGCATCTGCAATTAGTCCTGAGCATGAATCTTTCAGTGTGAAACGAGCAGTTAAACAAGGCAAGGGGTTGGAAATTACTTCTCTGAAAATATCACGATCTGGATTCCATGCGCGGGAAAAACAAGATATTAATATGAAATGATGTTATGTTTTTCGGAATAATTACAGACAACCGTATGTGAATCCTAACATTTTAAAAAATCTTTCTTGAAATTTATTTCATTATTTTATTTGTACAAAAAAAATTAACTCTGTTTCTTGGGGTATATGTAAATTACCCATATATATGTAAATTGAATGTCACAGTAATAATAATAATAATGTAAGATTTTCCGCTTATTTATATAAAGGATAATGACTATACCTGCTAGGAATATCTTAAAAGTTAAATTTTCGCTTATCTGTTATGCAGAAAAATCTTTTTAATGTAGCACTAGGAACTTAGTGTTAAAGCTCTTAGAATTTATATATTAATGCTTATTCATAGAGGTAAAATTCATTCTCCGAGTTATCTTAGATGAATGCAACAAGAAGTTCTTAAGCTGATGAATTAAAATGAACTCATAGTTATAATGTCTATCTGTTTGATAGTGAATGGAAAAAAATTAGTGGTATTCTCAGCTAAATTCACTAACGTAGTTTTTTGTTTGGCAAAATAGCCTCATAAAACAAAGAAAGATATTATTATGTATCACGTGCTTACTTATGAAATTATAATACTGCGCAGCAAAGAAGGCTAACACAGCTGCAAATTTCTGTAATTGTACAGAAGTTCGAGCATCTTACTTTAATATGATGTTGACACTTTCAAACAGTTTGCGGACGTACTTCTTGCAGTTTTTCAGAAAACGTTTACACTTCTTGAGAAATTTACATATACAAATTAAACAGTATAATATTCTCGGTAAAATCACTGTAAAGACGAATGAAATAAGCCTATCTTAGAATGTAACAGAGAATAACTCCATGTTATAGTTCTTCGTTGATTTTCATTGTAGGGAGTATGATCAGTAAGAAACGTTGAAAAAATTTCGTTAAAAGTTTATGTTTTACATCTGTTTTGACAGAAAAACCTAAAGTAAAATGTCAAATCCTTTTACCGAGAGGCCTAACTAATACACAAAAGACGTTCTATCTCTTCTCCAACTTGTTCACAAAATTTTAGGAGCATTTCAATGTTTTGTTTTATTTAGAAAGTTTGTACGCATGGTTTATCATGGGTAAAAAAAAAGTGCATTTTGCAGACGACTGATTAAAAAAAAACAGGTTTCTTTTTATTGCACATTTAAGAAGACTTGAGAAATGTCCACAAAGTGTCCTGCTCATTTCTTCTCGGTTGCCAAACTTTAAACAATACTGTAGCTGTTCAAAGCTATTTTTGTTTTCTTTGTTGTTGAGAAGAACAAAGAAGAAGGAAAGCATATATAGGTTTCATTTAAAATATGGAAAGAATTTTTCCACTTTCACACTTTCAAATACCAAGAGTTTGTTTAGATATCTTATCTATCTTCTTTTAATTCAATCTTTTTTTAATTCAAAGGTTAATCATATTTTAAAAGAAGCTATAAGTTATGACGATATGGAAGTGCCTACATATAAAACAAACCTGCATTAGATGTTTGACGAATTAAAAGATGTTGCAGGAAAGGTCAGCAACAAATATATTTCCCCTTAGGTTAGAGTGGCTGTTCTTTGCGATAAAGCTTTTGTTCATAGAATTTGATATGTCACACGCAGGTTTAAAGAACACTCACCTTAATCATCATTCAAATGCAATGATACATTACTTCTAAAATGTACAAAATAATTTCTCAGAAAATGCAATACAAACGAAGCTGCATGAGTGATAAAAACTGGTTCCGAATGTCGCTGAAGTCATTCGTTATTAATGTCTATTTTATTGATTTTTAATTAAAATCCTCTCTTAGCATTCTTCTCTCAGAATAAAATAGCGCTTTTTGAAGAGGACTTAAAGCAGGTTATTAAGTCCTCTTCAAGCGGTTAGACAGATTAAATTAACAAAGAGAAATGTATTTAAACGAATTAAATTATTTACTTGAATGTATTAAATTCTGGCACGTAAGTTATTTTGAGTTTTCAAATGCGAATGCAACTTCTGCAGGTGAATTTAAACTAAAAATATAAACGCTAGGAATGATGACAAATCATATCATCGTTGAACCATTTCAGGAAGAAATTCATATCACATGAATTTTGTTGCATTAAGATATTGATCATTCAATTAAATACTTAAGAGTATGATATGCGCTATGCAGTTCTTGTGCTTCGCTTTTTAAATTATCACAGCTTTAATAGTCTTCCTCAGACTTAACAACCTTGAATCATAGAGAAGTTTTATTATGCGTCTGGGGAATGCATGTCTTGAGTTGATATCTGACTCTGAGACCGCTCCAAGCGAAGCATTGAACCTCCTTCTTCAGCAAAAGTGTCAAGAGCAGCTTGTCTAAGAAGTGGAAATCTTTTTATTGAAGGTCGGCGTTCAGGCAAACTTTCAGATCTACTTTTTCTGGGAGATAATGGTAGGACTACTTGAGAAGGTAATGGTATGGAACTGAGACCTGAAGACGTACTGGATGACAGATACTGATTTGATGTGGCTGTTGCATTTCCCTGAGATAATAGCCTTGTGCTAGTGGAGGAAGAAAGATAAGATTTTGATGTTCCGCTTTCAGCAGTGTCTAAAGAGTTGCACTTTGTAGGGATGGATTTAGGATCCATATCATGTGGATCTAAATCTGAACGAAACGTGGGAGAATATTTTAAAGATTTGGACAAAGTTGAAATACTTAAGTTCTTGTCAGCTTCATTTGCCGTCACGCTCGAAGTATCTGAATAAACTATTTGGCCATCTATTTCTTCGTTTTTTGATGCTAACTGATGACTGCGATTAAAAAAGCACGGTGAGTCATAAATCTTCAAAGGGGACTCTACCTCTTGAGAAGACTCTTGTGAACCAAAGGAACCCATATTCATGAAATTGTTGGCTTGAGGTGTAGGTGACAATGTATTAATTCGAGGAGATAGCAGATTAACCGTTGATGGCCTGTCTATTCCGGGAGAACTTCTATCCGAACGGTCAAGTGAAAAATGAGCTGAAAATGTTAGTGATCGGGAGCTATCTTCTGATGACTGAGGTTCTAGAAATTTTGATTTATTATCCATAGAGTTCTTTGGACTATATATCACGTACTCAGTCAAAGATCTGTCTCCAACGGACTTAGTTCTAGCCTGATTGTCACGCTGACATATTTCTGCTTCATTAACAATTTTTAACTCTAACGTGTTAAGTATAATTTGAGGAGTAGTTGCAGGCACATCTTGATTTATGAAAACACTATCATCTATGTCCTTTGAATAACATTCGTCGTCATCCCCAAACAACTGAATGTCACTTTGCTGACTAAATTTAGTACAGCGACTGTCATCAGAATTTTCTACTTTCAGAGGCAATTTTCCCATTTTTTTCATGTCATCGTGTACTTTTAGAGTAATGGCTCCTTGAGGTAAATATATATCCACAGACATTGATCCACTTGAACTATTTGTACAAGATGTTTGAAAGGGCAAGGCTCTAGTCTCATATCCGTTAGTCATCTGAACCGGTGTTGCAATAGTTGCATTAAAATCATGGGTATCGTCAGCATTATCTTGATGATTGGAAGATCTTGGACAGTCCATTGAGACAACCTGCCGATATGCATCTGGTGCAACTGAAAGTAGCTGCGGTTTTGAGGTCCTTGTTTTAGTCTTTAATCCATGAGTCATGCATCCTCCATAAGTTATGCGTTGCGATGGCTGAGGAGTACTTGCTTCTAACAGTGCCACTGCTTCCGGAATATTATTACCATTTGCATCTCTTTGCATTTTTGCTAGACTTGGTTCCGATGGGCATTTTCGAAGGCCAATACCTTGATGGCCTGTCACAATTGTATTTTGCGAAGTCATTTTGTTTGTATCAACACTGTTTTGCAAATATTTACTGAAATTTACTAATGCCTGTGTTACTGCAGATCTAGCATCTGCTACATCTTCGCTGGGTCTCTGCTGGCTTAGAAATCTCTCCCATGAGGTTTTACTTGATCTTTCAGATGGTGTACTGCCACTTCCTCCTGATACCACATGCACTCGGGTTCGTTTGAACCATATTGGTACAATTTTAGCCGCTGTATCTCTAGCTTCAAAGGTCATAACACAAGCAGCAACAATTGTGAATCCTCCAATACCCATAACCACAGGACCCAAATAAGTAAGACTTCCTAAATGTGTATCTTTACTTTCATTCTTAACCCATACTGTAGTGTTACCCTTAGTTTCTTCTACTGTAGAAAGGTGATCAGAATAAAATCCTAGAGTGGCCATTCCAGCACCAACTACTATGAACAGGAAACCAGTAGTCATTGCTTTGCAAGCAGACCACAAGCATTTGTCCGTAACTTTACCCCTTACAGTCATCACATTCCAGTTTGGTCTCGTAGAAGTGCTTGAAGGAGCAGTGCAGGACCCATTCTCTCCATTCGAATCTTTACATCCTTTATTTTCTTTCAAAACCTTCATTACAATGAAGTGAGTAAGAATCTGGAAAGAGAAATATTGATTTCAGTTAATCTAATCAATATAAGTCAAGAAAGTGCTTATATTTTTTATCCGATACAGACAAATTAAGCAAGTTTAAAATATAATAAAGTCTTAGTTATTCCACATAATACTAACAAGACCGTTTATTCTTTAGATTTTCTTTTCCTGGAAACATGTAATGGATCTTTGCTATTAAAAGGCTGTTGCAGTGTAATGATTATACCATCCGCATAAGAGTTTGCATACTCTTGGAATAATTTCAATATGACATAAAGGTTTCATTGATCATAATTTTATCACCTTCTGGAGTTATGAGAATGAAATAATTAGCATAATGTGCTAATAAGAATGTTTTCCGCATACATGGTAAGTAAACCTTTTTCTTCGCACATTTTACAATTTATAAGAATGGGCAGCAGTTTAAAAATAATGTTTGTTGCTGTGACTTTATATTCACTAATCCGTGATTTGCAGCGGAAATCGGAAAAAAATATTGAAAACATGGAACATCTTGGCATTTTATTTCTCAGTAAGATATAAACTCTAAATTTACACATTAGAAATAAATCTTCATGCACTGAACATCAAGAACTACAGTATAAGAATCAGGGTCCTTTGCACGGCAACCATTGTCACAACGTGCCATTCAATTTTAATTCGAAGGTAATGACAGGTGACCCTTTAAATGATTTTTGATGTTTCTGAATTTTTATAGCCCCTTTTTTCTTTCAAATCTGAGCAGCTGGTAATGTACAACAAGCTAATGTCCAAGTAATGCTGAGGTAGTTGATTTCTATTTTTAACGTTTTTGCAGTCGGCCGCCTTCATTTCGAAGCTGACAGTTAAATGACAATATGAGTGCAATATTTTATTTTAAATGTCGTAAATCTTAAAAGATAAATTGCAGATTAAGTGGTTTCAATAATGTTTTCTTAAGAAATCTACAAAACCTAAGACATTAAATTTAGAAATAAGAGCTGAAAGTCTTCTGAGATGTTGCCGCTTTATAACGTTCAAACTGTTATAAAAGAGAAAAGGATTAACCAAAAGAGAAAAATAAACCATGGAGACGTCACGCAATGGATATTTCAATAATCAGTGACTTTTGTTTATAGTTGCTAAATACAATTTACAACTTAAGTTTTTGTAATTTTGTTTCTTGCAAATAAGCAAAACATCTGAATTCTTCTCTTTCCTTTAAAACACTTAAAAAATTTAAGAAAATTTCTTATAAATTAATCTTTTCCTAAGGTCTTTTTCTGGTATATATATAAATATATATATATATATATATATATATATATATATATATATAAGTTCAATTGCAGTTTCACTAATATGGTGGTATTACGAAACCGACAGACCATCCTCCTGCTTCTTCAGGAATTTTCTTTAATAGAATCTAAGAATTTGGAGAAAAATTAATTCCTTACTCAAATCGACAATCGAGTCAGCTATAGTCTTCATATTTTTGATGTCAAACTTTATAACAGACCACAGAAGACTGTCTAGAATTGTGACCTCTTAGCTGAGAATTCTCAGTACTCAGAAATATTTATCTTTCAATACATTGAGCAGAATTATACATTTAAATTTAAAATATGTGTTTTTAAAAAAGGTATTCATAAAACTGTGGATACTGAATGCCCCTAACAAAGTATAGTCTGATGTCGCTATCAAAGAGCCGGCTTTTAACGAACCTCTGTATATAATGATAGAACCTTTTCATTTCGTCCAGTTTCGTGTAACTTAATATTGTTTTATAATCTTATAGCGAATCTCCGGGAAATAATAAATCGGATTTAATGAACTCTTGGGGATATCTTTGATTGAAACTGTTCTTGTAGTTTTCATTATTTTTTCAGAATTTCTGCAAGTTTTAACGAAAAAATCACTAATCATTAACATCACCTCCATATTAGGATTCACATTTCGCATTACATCCTTAAAGGAAAGCAGCTTTAAGCTAATTTTTTTTATCTTTACCTTAAGTTCTTCTGTGTTTTAAACACAGTTTACGCGATACATGTGTGCCAGTCTAAGAGAACGAGGGTACAATAAGCATGTCTTAGGGCACAATGTGGTGTACATGATCCATTGAACCAAAAAACATGAATGGGTTCTTTGATTTCATTTCAAATTCTTTGACTGAGCTGCCAGACAGAACTCTATTCAAGGCTGATGGAAATTTTCTGCATTCAGGGAAAGAGGAAGTAGTGAATTTTATGCTTTATGTCTTTACGGTTGATTCTTGTTTCAGGAAATGACGATTTTTTTATCCTTATCGGCTTATTTTATTTGAGCATAAATGATATCTAAGTCATATACTCTGAGCAGGGGTTTTGCATGCTTTAGGTCCTCTGCAAGACATAAATATTCTTTATAATAATTGTTGAATCTTTGCGTTAAAACTATACATACCTTGGGAGAAACGAATTGGACATTATATAAGACATATACGTGGCCAATTACAAGTATCTTAAAAAAATGACCAGCATGACAAGCTGTAAAAGTGAAGCATCTACACTGAAGACATGGTGAAGATCATTTGTAAAATACAGAACGGATGCAGCCAAATGGATTCTTGCACAAAATGCAGTTTATAGAAATCTATAGTTGGTATCATTAGGTTATTTCGAAGCAAGAGATATGAAAAATGAGCAATATAAAATAATATAATACAACCGTCAAGATTTCATGTTATCCTGGTTCTAGAAACATTATTGAATTCAAATCACATACGATTTCACCAAGGTAAAATGAACATTCGAATTATGTTTCAAACTTCCAAGTTTATTCAAGTCTAACACGCGTTCAACTGGCACTGCCAGATCCAAGGACAAGAAGTATACATCATGAAAGATTTACTCCCTCTTTGGCGATTAAAATATATTTCCAGATAAAATTTCTTACAAGCAATGCCCTCGCCGGGACTCGAACCACGGGCCTCTCGAATACGCCTCGAACTTGCTGACCACTGCACTACGAAAGCATTTTAAGAAGGCCGGAGAAATAACTTATATACTGTCCCTTTTAAAGGGAGACTTAGGTTTTAGGGAGCCCAATCGCCAAATCCTGGTGCTTAAGAATCCTCATTCAGTACCTTTTAGTTCGGGCACCACTGTAGAGACATTAGGATTTTTTGGAAGCAGGAGACTTGTAAAATGAGCAATCCTCTCGCCGGACGCGAACCACGGGTCTCTCGAATTCGCGTCGAGCTTGCTGACCACTACACTATGAAGACATGCTAAGAAGGCGAGAGAAATATCTTGTACCTTATGAAAAATATAATTTTTGTTCATTAAAAAGATGAGTAGGAGAGAAAAGTTCAGAAGGGTGAAAAATAAGGATGTTAAAGAATCATTAAAATGGTTCCCTATTCAAAGAAGCCGTAATTTACTGATATCCGGACAAGTGTTTCAGAAAAAAGGAAATGAATTTAACAGATACTTTGGAGAGACTGATAAAGAATGAACAAACAATTTAACAACTATGGCCAACAATAATTGCAATTAAATCTGATATGATATGACAATGTTAACAAGCTTTTTTCATTATTCAATTTTTATACTTTTTCTGAGATAATGCATTTTCCTTATCAGATCGGAAATAGCGAACCAAAGTTCTAGTCCTTTAAAGTTTGTTACAGCGGGTTAGACTGTATTAACAATCTTGCGCGTTATCTGTATAAATATTTATTTAATCTCTATAAGCAGCAGGACAGCACCTTTCATGTTATTCTCATGAATGGTTAATAAACATTTGCTACTTTCCGAATAATGAATGGGAGAAAAAACGTGAAATATGAAATTAAATGCTGTGTTAAAAATGCTTTTTGAAAACCAGAAATCTGCACTTCATAAAAATTGGACCTCATAAAAATTGCTATAAATTACGGAGTTCATTATAATATTAAAAATGTCAGGTATATAGTTTTTCTAGAAAGAATGCATTATTTCGCATACTTTGTGATAACTGAAGGATTATAAAAGCGGATTGTTAATAAAACTCAGCATATTAGTTTTTTTTAATTTTTTTTGTTGAGTTTTTGTGACTATAACTTTATTAACACAATTTAGCAAAACGAAAGGTTGTAAAATTACGTTCAATATTATATAGAAAACTTTTGTAGAACTTCATCATCTTGCTTTGTGGAAAACCAGAAGAATACGCGCATAAAACGACAACATTCGAAGTACTAAAAATTTTTAATTTACACGAAATCACCTAGTATCTATCAGTACAAGTTACAATGTGAATACGTGTACATAGAGGAGTGCTGACAAATTAGCATCATATATCCCAAAGAAATAAGTCGAATATTTTTACTTGAAATCAGCACCAAAGTAAGGCGAAATTTTGCTATATTAAAAGATTGTACTTACTTAATTACACACTACACTTATTTGCATTAATAAGTTTTGCAATATTCGTAGGGAGAAACCATTGGACTGAAAGTAAGACAATGGCAAAGCACTTTCATGTTTCTGATTATTGGACCACTAATAACTCAAACATAAGGAGATTTATAAGAATCAAAGTCTGCAATCCGTGCTTCTTACTTTGTGAAAGTTAAGCAGTTATAAAACACATAAACAAACCTTTTTAATATCCATTCTAGTTTCAGTTCATAGTTTCCAGAAAATCTCCAACATTCATCATGGCAGTTTATAGGTCTAACAATTACGAAAAGATAATAATTCTCTTCGTTAAGAATATAAATATTATAATTCAGTCAATTTATTTGAAGAAATACGAAGTAACCCAGGAATCAGCAGTTATCATAGGAAACATTTATTGTTTTTTTTATAATCCTTTATCAACTCTTTAAATTAATCTTTGGCGTAGAAATAAGGTATGAGATTTTCGCATTCCACAGGATATCCATTGAGATTTCACTCAGAGAAGCTTCACTTCCACACATGCACACGAGTTTTAAAGCTTGAGAGTGGAAAAGGATCTTTTTCTTACCCATAATTATAAATATTAGGATAACAGAG